GGCATACTTTTTGCATTTTATTTATTGTACATATTAGACGTATGCTACTATAATTTTTATACGTAACAACTCCGCAATTTTAGTTTTATAGTAAGCAAACCTGAATTGCTACCGGAAAAGTTTCACTAATATTATTATGGCAGTCTCTAGTGTAAAGTTTTGTTACTTGTATCTAAGTATGTATGTGTATACATGCATTCCTACAGGAGAAATTAGTGTTCAAATCGATCTCAACTAAACGCAACGTTAATACAAAGACAATTGACCGTAGCGAAAGTACAACAAGACACAAATAATTGCAAAATCGCGATATAGATGTCTTTAGATACGCCAATTAATCGTACATTAATCCGTAACTATAATAGATCGGTGCGATTATTTTCAAAAACATAACGAATTATGTAACTAAATACTACATAAGTCCAAACTGTTGCTAGTTCAGTCACAATATACATTTAATCAAGGAAATAAACCTAGATATCCATAATTTTCTAAAAATGCGATAATAAGTCCTTAAACAGAAACATATATTCCAAAAATTTTCTGGATGAGGTACAACTGAATTATGTTATTCCATTCAAGATAGAAACAAGTACAGTAGAATCCGCTTATAATGACATCGAAGGGAATTAACAAACACATCATACTAAGCGAGCGTCATACAAAGCATAATGTTAGAAAATAAACAACTTTCTGTTTTGGTTAGATATTTAGTTTAATAGATAAAAAACTACAAATTGTGTGTATTTATTGATGAATTGTGATATGAATATGCATAAGAAGGGTCAGAAAAATGAGCGAAAATGTTATTATTAATCATTAGGGTCACTACAGCCGGATATGATTGCTTGAGAATCACTCATAATAAACGATATGTCATTTTAAACGGAGTCGTTATATCCAAACTTTCCTATAGAGAATTTAATATGAAAACCAAACTTAACGCTGCAATTAGTTCATATTAAGCGGTTGGTCAATATAGACGGAGTCATAATAAACGAATTCTACTGTATTAGTTGTAAGTAGTAGCACGTCAGTTTCGCATGTAACCATGTGAGTACATTTCCACAACAATTCAGACCAATCATTGCTGCAACTACAAATTGGCGAGTACTCTAAGCCTAAACTTCTTGCGGAATTTAAGTGTTTATTTAGATAAGTTTAAAAGTACTCCCTTTGATTTTTTTGTTTTTCCTACATCAGTTGCCCTAAATACTTCTGGTTTCACTCAAATGAGGCTTAGTAAAAATAGGTTTTCGAGATTTTTTATACAAACAACAGTCATGCCTTCTGAGTATGTACATATTATGATTTTACTTGTTATAATTAAATTGTGTATGTTTATTGTACACCACACCATAAGTTTCATGTTTTCCAATTGTTAAGATTATAGTGGTAATAACAAAAATCAACACACGTTAATATTAATTGGAATTGTACATTTTCTACATAATATGTAGTTCAAATTCTGCGTATTGGACTTCTTGTATGTTTGCAAAAACATAATAACTCAAAGGAACAAAAACAAAACGTTTCAGATTAATGCTTTATTATTTAAAGAAAACGAGTAGAGAGTTACGGAAACTTGTGTATTACTAAACCAAGTATGACGAATTTGTACTTTTAATTTCTAAAATGCCCTATAACAGCGCTGTCCGCGGGCCATATTTTCTTCAAACATTTCGGGGGCCAAGAAAATTCATAAATGTAGTCAGTTTATGTTAATTTGCCTGAAATGTGATGAAAATAGTTTGCATACCCTTTCGTAATCTCTATAGAACAGCAAAAAAATATTTTATTTATACTAAAGATAAAACTCTAAAATATTCGTAATTTTTTAATGATGACATTGTGGCCGTAATTGTTTAGCAACAATCTCAATAATATTACTTTAGTAACATAAATTTATTCATAGTGAAATGTACTCGCGGGCCGTAAAAATAATTTGGCCGCTAGTTGGACAGCCCTGCCCTATAACATACTGTGAGGACCATAATTTGTCTCTAATTTGTCAGTATTTTTCTACAATATTTCATTTCTGAGAGTGACTGCCACGTTGACTGATTTCCGATCGTTTTTCGCTGATCAGCTCGAGGCTTTTAAAAATGTGAAATATCACTTTGTCAGGTTAACTTGATATCGGTAGTATATTAAAATGAATAATATATTACGCACCAAGGAAAAAAGTGCAGCGTTCCTCCCCGGGTGTGAATTGCCACCAGAGCCAAAGGCGAAGGCCAAGAATTGCCAGTAAGGGCGAGCTGCCGTACTTTTTTTCCAAAGTTCATATTATACGACGTACCAGGGAGCTACTCAGCAAAAATCAGCGTTATCGGATGAATTTTTTTTGTACTCCAGTTTTTTTACCGAAATTTTCTTGAATTTCTGCAGAAATTCTTATGGCGGAAAAGGAAAACCTTTTTTTCTATAATTATTCACAAGTATTGAAAACTTAGTTTTGAGCTTTTAACAAAACTTATGATGGGAACTATAATAATTATTAATTGTGTTACATTCTGCCTAAGTTGACCCAAAAATTAAATTAAAATTCCTTTTTTCTAAGCTAGCTCTAGGGGAAATATCCCAGACCTGCCTGCTAATACTGGCAAAAATTGAACGTGTTAGTGGACATCTCTCTCCTTCGAATCCAACAGTTCCGTTTCGAAATTTATGAGTAGTAGTACAAAAATAATCAATATTTGTCAAATAGCTTAAGAAATTTCGTTCATACCGGACGTCTAACGACATCCATACCCCTGCCCTAAAAGTACGATTTTTCCGTAAGCTGAAGTTGGTACTTTTGCACTTTCGTCCTTGAATCAGAGAGAAATGTCGCACGTTTCGCTAGGGGTATGTGGTAAAAATATGTTTGCCTTTTCTAATGTGCGTTTTGATATGACGTCGTGTAGCACAGAGCCGGGCAAACTCGGATCTTTTGCATCCCGAGTGATCCTCAAGGTTAACCAAGTAGCTCCTCATTGATCCTGCGAGTGCGAGTGAGATGATTCTTTCCTTTTCTTATCCCTTCCATTTCGTAGATGAGTCCCCTCTTCCATAGCCAAACCCAATAGTTTTGCGAACGTAGTAACGAAAATTTTCGTAGGTATTTATTATTTAAGTTGCGAGAGTGGCTTCGCTCGTCTACGGGATGAAGGGGCTTGATATGGGAGTGGAAGGGAGAAGAAAAAGACAAAACAAAATTATTTATTTCTGCTTACTCTCTCGTACTTATAGAAGGGTATGGAGTGACTCAAACTAACCTCATGTAGCGGATCCTGCGAAGTTAAAGTTTGCCCGGCTCTAGTGTAGCAGCCGCCACTGTTCAAAGCTCTTTTGATACATTGACTCCTATTCTTAAAAGGAAATTTGCGCTTACAAAAGTAGAGAATATCGATGAATTCTGTTTATTTTACTTGCCGTTTTCTCGCATAAAACAGATCTCTGAACTTCCGATAAATTAAAAGCGCAAAACCATAATAAAAACCCGCACGTATGCATTGTGTACACTGTACAGTATAATAGCAACATTTAAGTAAACCGTAAACCCCAGACACTTAACATGTACTGATCATATTTATTTATAGAGTATTTGTTATTTGTTATACGTGTGTACATAAATGTAACGGTACCTATGACCTCACGAGGTAAACTTAAATATGAACTTAACATACAGGATGCGTAAAATTTATGTAAGTAAAACAAGTAAAATATCCGCAATGTTAAAGAAAAGTTTATAAGAAATAAGTTAATTTTTGACATTCATATTTATTTCCCGACTACTTCTGAAGCTAATAGTGATGACCTCTTCACAAAAATTAACGACTATTTTTCTTTTAATAATAAAAAAAAAGATAATTGTATTCGTGCCTTTTGCAAATTTATTAATTCTTAGTCGGACGAATTAAAAGTTGTATCTCCTTCTCGAGCGGTTCTCGTTAGATATCCATTTCGTTCCATATAAATAATTACAAATGCTGCTATGCGAATGTAGGTTTGTATAATTAAAAGATCGATAAATTTAGAAATAGAAACACTTTTATCACTTATCGTTAGCGCGTCTGTTCAACGCGGCATAAAGTGAATAAAAGGAGTCAACACAACGTACATATACCTTCTTATATATATAGGGTGGAACATTTAAACTGGTACCGAATATTAAATGTTTGTAATGTAGAACAAAATAAACAACATCAAAACAAAAAGAACTGACAGAAATTTATGTGTGTTTATAAAGGTGCGTTCATACGTCCGAGCACGAACGACGAACACGTTCGAGGTCTGTCCGAAGGTTGTTCGAAATCCATCCGTGTTGAGTCGGTACTACAAATTAATGTGGGATTAATGTGGACGGCATTCAATCATGAACAATCGTCGTCATGATTATGAAATCAAATAAAATGGGGAACATAGCTGGATGACTGTCACGTTTGTTACCTCGGCAGACTTTGTTCGAACGTGATCGTGCCGAAATGTATACGCACCTTAATATTAAATGTACAGATTCCTAAAATTTTCTGTAGATGTTAATGTGGAGAACTGGGTGAGAATACCCCGGTTATACTCAAAAGTTAGCGATCATATATATGCCTCATAAAAATAACTTATGGTTCTAGGTTTCAAATCACACCATAAAGATAGTGTTCGCTCCTCGTTTATTCCATTTCGCCCAATGGGTGTATTTTGGGAATTTATGAGAGTACATATATGTTTTCATTTTGAAAACATCAACGCTCGCTGTACGTTTAAAACCTGCTAACGTTTTGCGTCCGTGTTTCCTCTTAATGAAAATTGCAAATGCCTTCGTTGCGAAGAGAAGCCCGCATAAACGGAAATTGTGTTTCAATTGTTTTTATACACGTATTATATGTAGGTGTACAGATGTAGATGATTAACATACCGGTGAAACGTACCTTTTACGTACTTTCACACATTTTTATTTTTATCTGATGACATTAAGTTAATAAATGACAGGACTTTTTTAATTGAGAATTTTGTTTTAGAGGAGGACGCGTATCATTGCATGACCAGCCTGGTGTCGGCAAAAGAAAAAATGTTCATCACGCAAACAAAACTGTTGCATGACGTCACGTGGAAGACTGTCTTACAGATTGCAAGGAAACATGTGGTAAGTTTTTCGTGAAATATACTAACTCGTAGATATTTTAAAATGCAAGCTTTTACTGACATATCTCAATTGGGTTGATTTGAATCATATTTTGACAACATATTCTGACTGTTACATAGGGCCGCACTAAAAGCGGATTTTGCAAAAATTACAAACACATAAATTTAAAAATCTCAAATGTATTAGGTATACTAGAACGAGCTATTATTCAAAAAATATCAAACTTCTGTGAATGACGTATGTTCTTTAATTTTAATTTTAATCGTAGTTTCAAAGTACCTACCTACGTATTTGAAGATTACTTCTACAAATAAGTTTTGTTACGTGATTCTAATCTGTATGTTTTTTTTTAATCAAAATTTGGCGTTTACTTGAGTTAGCGGAATCAAAAGTCATGAATAGGTACACAGTACAACTTTACCCTCTCGATCTAAAATTAACTAAAGTTTATATCCAAAATCCATGCGGATAAGAGCTGGTAATAAACCTAAATAATGCGTGGACTAGACATGAAATGGGTACCCGGATCCGATCAATGATGTCAGGTGCTCGGCAGTGCCGAGTAATAATTCAACTAAAGAGAAAAAAAGAAAAGAAACAGTAATAATAATAATAAATATAACCAAACCGTACATTTTTAATTACATATTAAGGATTCGAAAATTAAATTCTATAGAGGGAGATCAACTGGACCTCCAAAAATGTTTGTGAAAGTATAAACTATTCAAATAAATTACTAAAAAAGTATTTTCCTGTAGACAACAAAATTCGTATGAGCTTTGAACGTTAACCCTATNTTGAAACTATTAATATTTCTTGAGTTCATTTATAATTAATGACGTATTCACTCAGGTATGTAACCAAAAAGTGTAACGTCACAGCGTCACGCCCACGTGTGATCCCTGGTGGATATGTCCAAAAGGAGTCATTTTAATAGGCTTCAGAAGTAAACTTCTACAACTAGTAATAATCGATAATCCGAAAATTGCCATTTCGACAAATTGTCAGAAATGTACTGTATATGTATTGCATATGTATGTGTGTTTGTTTGTTTGTTTGTTTTATAATTCGTCTTTGCAGTTTTGTAAGTTGCAAACGTAAAAGTTTTTAACAAAATAAACCAATATACCTCATTCGTCCGCTCGAAATAAAATTTCTTTTAAAAAATACTGCTATAATATACAATCTAAAGAAGTTTCACTTCTTACGCTAGTACACTGATAATACGCTCGCCCCCTTTTTTTCATTGTAATAAGGTAATATATATATACATTTTGGGGAGTAATTTTGTTAGGAGACTTATTCGGAAAAAGCGAAAAAAATCATCCGAGTCGGCGAACATACCTAATACAAGTTTATACAGAACCCTCGGTTCGTAAGTCCGATTTGCACTTGACCGGTTGCTTTATAGTGATTCTGCTGTTGGGTATTCAGGTGCCCAGTACCAGCAAAACTACCCTCCGTTGCATCTTTAGATTGTAGAGCTAATTATTAGTTTACATAATTATAATAAATTGTATTAGCGAAGAAGTTATTAAATTATAATTAAGAGCATTTAATTTAATGTTTTTTTTTTCATTTATTGTATTTGTTGATAATTTTTCAAGCCTTTGAAAAACATCTCGTTTTAAATTAGTATCTTTAGTTGTAAACATACGAGAAAGAATTGGGCGTTTGTACTTACATGATAACAAAATCTGGCTTGAACAAGATTTTATGAAAAACATCACATCACATCACCTAGTTTGCTTGTTGTTGTGTTTTTCAATATTATTATCAAAGTTGATGTGATATTTTACGCTTTTACGGGTGAAATGAATTCTTATCTATATATTAGAGTGCGTGTGTCTGCTGGGTGTCCAGTAAATGGCGGATGGGGAAAATTACCGTAACATCCATCATCCGGTAAATTGAATTTTACGTTTAGATAGTAAAAGTACCGTTTTTTAGTACATAGTAAAAGGAAATAGGAAACGCGAACCAAAATGTTTTCAGTTTTCCTCACACAACAAACACCAATCCCGCTGAAGCAGTTCTATTAAAAAAAATACAACGTGTAATTATATAACAAGCTACTGAAGTGAAATTTCTTCAAACACACAAACATACCGGGATAGGGGTTAAGGAATTGGTTTAATGGTATTATTTGTACACTATGCTTCGCACGGGTGCAATGCTGATAGTAAATTTACTATAGAATATCTTTATATATAACAATCGCAGCTTTTTTGTCATTAGACAATACAAACCGGCCGGTACCGCCGCAACCGCTATGTCCCTGCATTTTAAGTCTGTAATATCTTCGAAAATATTCATTTAAGTAAAATAAAGGGCCATATTGATCTATATTAAATGCACAGTGTATTTAAAAGTACTTAACTGGATAAGGATTAATGCTGTATTACTTAAAATCGCTTCGTAAATAAGCCATTATTTCTCGTAAAAAGTAAAGGTTAAAAAATAGTTATTGTGGGTTATCCCCAAGAGATAGACATATACCATCGCGGACTTTTTTGTAGACCTTTTTAAGGTGTACAATACTGTAGTGTATTATTTTGATCTACCTCGTAGGGTTAAGCCAGCGTTTGCAATGTAAGTGCAAAAAATGTGTTTATTTACATCACATTACAAACCTCTCAAATTATCAGTGTTTCTCTACTATATTATGCATGTATTATACATATAAACCTTCCTCTTGAATTACTCTATCTATTAAAAACAACCGCATTAAAATCCGTTGAGTAGTTTTAAAGATCTAAGCATACATAGGGACAGACAGCGGGGGAAATGCGTTGCAAGATTTCGTTACATAACAACTCTCATGAAACGAACTTACCCTACCGTGCGTAAAGAAGTTTCAATTCAAAAGGTCTTTGAGGGTTAAACCCGAATCGTCTTGAGAGTGTCCCTTCAACAAACCCATTGAAAAAGTCCGTACATAGTTTCAAACGGGTGTTGCGACACATATGTGTTTGAATTTATGTTTCCTAAGTACGTCCCTGATAATGACGTCATGTTCGAATACTATCTGCTCTCTAGCTATCATGCATTCTTTTCAATTACAAGTATAATCTTTTTTTAATCATAGGACTTTACATATGTTTGTCTGAGTCATTTAATACAAAATTCGTCGTAAAGTCGTTTGGAAAATTCATTAAAATGTTTTCATATACTTATCTGCTACGATGTATTTCAGCAAAAATCAATCGTAAACCAATCTCCTACATCGTTCTATTAATAAATCATCTCATTGGCAGCATTCCGTTTAAAAATAGGCATTTCTTGTATTTCACCCATCAGAAAAATATTTAGTATTTTTATCCTTACCATACACGTTAAAATTTCCCAAATAATAACTTGAGAAATGACAAATTGTACACGACATATTCTAAAAATACTCTAGTAATGCATCGTTTAACGGAAAAAAATACATTATTTGTTTATATATATATATTGTATTACACTGCAGCACGTATTTTCAGTCACAAATAGAATTAACGTTTAAATTGACTGAGGTCCGCACCTGGCATTAGCCAATTAACTGTATTTAATCTTCTTCTCCTATTATGTATTAATTTTTTTTGTTATTAAAGCAATACTGGGATTTAATGATCTTAGGAACCCTTTGGGCCACCAGAACCAGATCTATATTTTTTTCCTATCATTAAAGAAAATATAGTTTTTTGAAAAAATAGTAATTAGCATGATACGAGGGTGGATTGATAAGTTTCCGGCCTAACCAAGAGATGACGCCACTAGGCCTACCTTGAGGTGACATTCTATAGTACCATCCTTGGATAGCTTGTAGCTATAGTTTCAGCCCGATCTCCTTGCTAGTGTAGGTTTGACAGCACGCTGAACAAGACGCCTCTGTGGTTTTCGTAAAAATGGAAAAGCAGGAAAATCGTGCTGTCATCAAATACTTTTATTTGAAGGGGTTAACGCCGAAGGAAATTAAAAAAGAGATGGACTCAACACTGGGGACATCCTCCCCGTCATATTCAACCGTTAAGCAGTGGGTTTCCGAGTTTAAAAAGGGTCGTGTGAGCACCTCTGATGGGCCTCGCTCAGGACGCCCCGTTGAGGTCACAACTCCAGATATGATCGAAAAAATTCATCAAATAGTGCTGGGAGACCGCAGATTGAAAGTGCGTGAGATAGCTGAGACCTGTAAGATGTCATATGAACGTGTGCAACATATTTTGCACCAACATTTGCATATGGAAAAGCTCTGTGCAAGATGGGTGCCGCGTTTGCTAACAGTCGACCAAAAATTGATTCGAAAAAACATTTCTACCGCAAATTTGTCATTGTATAAGCGTAATCCAAGCGAATTTTTGCGTCGATTCGTAACCGTTGACGAAACGTGGGTCCACCACTACACTCCTGAAACCAAAGAACAGTCTAAACAGTGGATTGGACCAGGGGAACCAACTCCAAAGAAGGCAAAAACAATTTTTTCGGCGAACAAGGTTATGGCTACTGTTTTTTGGGATGCAAGAGGTATTATATACATTGATTACCTTGCAAAGGGTAATACTATCACTGGTCAATACTACGCAGACTTATTGCAACGTTTGAGCCACGAGGTGAAAATTAAACGACCTCATCTGGCGAAGAAAAAAATCTTGTTTCATCACGATAACGCACCAGCGCACACGTCAATCGTTGCGACGGCTAAAATCAACGATCTAAAGTTTGAATTGATGCCGCACCCTCCTTACTCTCCAGACCTAGCCCCGAGTGACTATTTTCTGTTCCCTAATCTCAAAAAATGGCTTGGCGGTAAGAGATTTGCGGACAATGAAGAAGTAATCGAAGCTGTAAATGGTTATTTTGAGGAGCTTGACGAATCAGTCTATAGAGATGGCATTAATAGACTGGAACACCGCTATGAGAAATGTATCAGCCTTGGAGGAGATTATGTTGAGAAATAAAAAAAAAAAATTTTTAAAAACCTTGTTTTTCTTGGTCAGGCCGGAAACTTATCAATCCACCCT